CTTAAGCTACAATAAAATTAACAGCTTATGCCAGTTGCTCATCTACCAAACTATTTCAGTCACCAAAGTAAAACTGTGGCATTTTCCTATGAAATTCAGCGTTTAAGGCTGATTACCATCGCTGATTTCTTGGCGAGGCATGTGACATCTTTGGATGGTGAGCTCCCCTGTTAGTTTTGACATTTTGCTATCGTTCGCCATCATTGCTGTTCCACCATCATCGTAAATTACACGAAAAGTATCTATCTTTAGTTGGCAATGCTGCAATTTTATTAAAATTCCAAAAACCACCCGCCCTTTTGGTTGGCTGTTGGCTGCCTGGGAAGCCACAGCCCCAGTTGGCCATGCATATATGTATGTAGTTCCACTTAGACTCCGTCGTCCGGACCCAAGTCAGGCTCCAAGCTGGGAGAAGGACGAGGGGAGGACTTCATTCTCCGGGCAGAGCCATCGCCATATTGCAGAAATTGTGTGGAGCAAATAGTTTCCCCTGCTGTCGTTGCTTTTATATAAACATGAGGCAAGATTAGATACAAATTACACGCCAGCTTCCCAAGGTGGGCAGCAGGCCCCACCCGTTTGGCAATTTGCTCACCTTTCTGCTCCTCCTTCCGTCGTATCCATAAGTTACCAACGCAAAGTACCTCGAGTCCGACAGCTGCAATAAGAGGAAAAGTTTCGGGAGGGAGCAAATGGCATTTCTGCCATTTCTGCCGCACCCACTCCACCACTCCACTGCACACAGCCAGTGTATTTTTATTATTTATTTATTTCATATATTTTTCAACGGGCGCGATTATAAAATGTACAAAAAAGCGTGGAGGGAAAAATGTGGGAAACTATGTTTGTGCCCTTAGGGAGGCATTGGTTTCCACTGGCTTGGAGCTGTGCAATTTTTATTCGAAAGATCTGACTTTGTCTTATAGAAAAAACAGTGTACTTCTGTTTTTCTAAGCTTAAATATATATTTCAATAAATGGTTTAGTCAAAAAAGATATAACTGGATTTTACATAATTTAAGCTGAAATTATACTTCCAAAATTATTCCTAAGAAGGAATGGCTTGCTACATTTAAGTTCTATGTATTTATGTTCTATGTGTCATACATTTTGGTATATGATGAAACAATCCTTTTTCGAAATTTGTAATGTTCTAAAATAATACTTGTGAATAAGATGTCTAGATCTGGAATTTGTCATATTTTCCGCTACATAATAGGTTAATGTATGCCTTTCTGAGCTGAAATTAGGGGTCCTGACAGCGACTGGAGCTGCAGAAGTAATTTGTGTTCGCCAAATTCAAACTTTACTTATTTTCGCCAAAAAAAAAGCAAAAACTTTGTCCTTCGTTTTGTGCTCGTGATTGCGGGATGGGAAAAGCGGACTAGGAAAATAAAAGCAAAGTCAGCCGGAAAGTTTTCGGGGTCCTCTGAGTGGTTGGGCGGATGTCGTTGCGGTTGTGTGTTTGCTCAGTTTCGGGGGACAGGGGGACCGGAGTTGGGCCTCATTCGGTGGCACGTTTGCAAAATGGCCCGATGCGTGTCTGGAATACATTTTCTGGCTTGCCAAAAAGATGGCAGGGCACAGGACCGAGTCACCAGTTTGGTAAAAAGCCCCGACCAGGCCCTTCCCCGCCATTGCCTGGCACTCCCCCAGTGCATTTGCACACATTGTTGGTTGTAATTCAACGTAAATTTATGGGAAATTGTTTGCCAGGCAGGGAAAGCGGAAAGCCGCATTTTGTGTTTTCTAAAATTTAATGTAGTTCGCCTGGTACACGGGGATGAAGGTGGCGTACCGTGGGTTCCTCTGCTTACTCCACAGAATTTTAAATTGGCAAACACACACGCACCCACTCGGGAGTCAACATTCCCATGGGTTGTGCAGGTTTTCTTCGCCATTCATTAGTTGATCGGAGGAACCCAAGGCCCAAAAACCTGAACCAGTTCCCCCAAGCCCAGAAAACCAAAACCACGAAGGGCTTAATGTTAATTTCAGCTTTTGTTTGGTTTTCTGTTCGATTGAGTTAATGGCGCCAGGCGGCGCGTCGTGTGTTGTTTCAGTTTTGGCAAATGGCATTCGGCTTAATCGGCTCGATCTTAACGCAAATAGTAAACGTTGTTGGGCTTTACACCTGCTTGTTTATAATGTCTCTTAATTTGAATACTATCGCAAGGGTGTTCAGTATGGTTTCTACAATTGATAACAATGTTAAAATACGGTTAAAATAAAAGTCTGTAAATAAATAAATGTTCCCGACAATCATAAACTCTTTGTATTTAGACAGTAGCCGCTGTTCACCCTTTATTAATTGAATCATAATTAAGAAAATGGGAATGCAGTGGGACCCCGATCAAGTAAACACCGTGATCAGAGGAATCGTCTAAAGGGCAAGTATTAAAACAGGAACAGCTACAAAAACTGTCAGCTTAAGCTTCATAAAAAGTCGATTGTATTGACAATAATTTTCCGCATTAAACACACAAAGTTAATGCGGCAGAAGTTGCCGAGCGACTGGAACTCGGGATGCAAGGTGGTGTGGCGGCTGCGTTACACTGAGAAAAATTTTATGTTTTCGGCTGAAGTGAATTTGGCGTTAAGCAATTCTTACCTAAGCTTGAGACATGTTTTAAGGCACTTCAAGATGAAATGAAGCACATTTTTAAAGAAATGCCATGCCAAGTTCCCAAACTTTTGTTTGAATGTGGAGTAAAATGGCGTCTGGGAAAAAGAGTGGGGAAAATGGAAGATCAGGACCGGAGAAAGCAGGGAAACAAGCCCGGAGCGCCTTAATGGAAGACTCCGATGCTCGTAAAAGTCAGCGGGCTAGGGTCTTCCGGCGGAGCGGAGTGGAGGGCAGCTTCTTTCCTCGAGTGCACCGCTGGGCACTTAACCAAACCAACAGGAATCTGTTTGTTTTTTCTTGTTAGCCCCGCCCCAAGCCCCTTCAGCACGAGCATGTGCATCTGGCACACTTACCGCGCAATTAATGGCGCAATTAAATGTTTACTTTAGGCGCTTTCGAACCGCATAAATGGCAGCCGTTTCCCCGTCGCCGAGGGAGATCGAAATTGGGGAGATGAAGGGTTCCGCGTCCGGAGGGAGCCGGCCTGGTCAAGAGTGGCTTCCTAGAACTGGCCCCAAGCCCAGTTGAACGGACAGGTAAGGGGAACAGAAGTCAGAAGCCAGGCTCTGCTCTCTCACTCGCACGCTTGATCCGCAGAATTTGATAGCCAATATTTCCTTTGTTTGGCTGGGTATTAAAGTCGTTCGTTTCGTTGACACCTTCAAACGCGATTTTGCATAGAAATGGCACAGTTAACATTGAAAGTCGTCTGCTTATGAGATTGCGTCAGGTAATCTAAAAGTTACTTAAGAAGATCAGCTTTATGTTTATAAATTTCAATTTAGCTCGACACTTCGCAATGGGGATGTTGGGTTTCGATCGACTAATCATTATTAGAAACCCACGAATTTGAATTCTTGCCTTCTTGTGATGCTGATGATGATGATGATGATGTTATGATTGGTATATAACACGACTGCCACTTCTTTTGGAATTTTAGACTGCACTGAAGGAATCTACTTATATTTCGGTATGATTTCAGTATTATGTACTAGCGTAAGAAAAATTATCCCTTGCCTATCTTTCAAGATGAAGCAAATGTAATTTAGATTGTACCTAGAGCATTCGCTCCAAAATATTACATTAAAACAAGCGTATCTGGCAAATCATTTAAGCCTTGAATCCCTACATGAAGGATTTTCGTACAATTGCTGGTAGAAATGAAAGATTCTCTCCCGCGAGCCGTAAAACAATTTGTTGCAAAATTTAGCAAACAGCCAGAAAAGTGCTCCATAAAAATATTAATCCTTCTGCCGCGTGACCGGCCGAGTAAAATGCGAGTGGAAATGGGAAAACGAGCCCCTACACATGTTCCTTCTTGAACGAGACTCTCGCTTTCGTTTTTAGGGTCCATAAAGCAGTTTTAACGGCCGCAGTGCCTTGAATTTGCTGTTGCCTTCGCATTTTGGTACCTCAGTATCTGTGTGGGCGCAGCACCGCAAATAGAGTGAAAATCTAAAAAATCACAAATCGCCTGGGATGGTCGGGCCTTTTCGCTTGGGATCGCTTCGTTTCGGTTCCGTTCTGCTACGTCAAAGAGTTGCAATTACAAAATATTTAATTGCCGGCAGCGAATGTTCAAGGAAAATCGAAAGTGGCCTCGGCAAAACGCCGCGGGCGAGGAAAGAGTTGACTTAATGGCACTTAAAAGGCCATAAAATCCTGAATTATGATTTCGAGGTCGCAAAAATAAGCCCCTATCCCTATATGCGCTACCCCCGATTTCCAGCATGACGTGAGTGTTTTGGCTATTCTTGGCCCGGACAACACCCAAACCATCTAGGGGCTAATGACGCATCCTATCCGCCGGGAATGGAGTGGAATGGAATCGTCTCCGCAGGAATTCGAAAATGACGCCTGTCACTGGGCTGCTTATTTATGGCAATTTCGATTGTCTTATGGGCGACTGCATTAACATATTGTGGCATACTGAACGCTGTGGTCACTCGGCAATCGCAACCGCAATCGCAATCCCAGACCCAATCCCAATCCCAAGCCCATTTTCCACGGTTTCTGTATTATTTGTTTCCTTCGCGTTGTCTGTCTTGTCAAGTGCACGTTTAGCTTGTTTGTTTATATACATATGTACGTACTATATATGAGTCTGAGTTGTTTCCCTTGTTATTTTTTAAATGAAATATCACGACTGACATGTAGACAGAACAAAGAATGCATAAATTACCCCGTCCCCGGCGGGGCTGCCTAAAAATCTCTGCCTTCGAGTTATTGAAATTGATGCCAGTTCCTCGGGTTCATTGTGCCTTATCAGCCAAAGTCTTGTTGGAAATAAGTGCATTAATTGACCATTTTCAACTCGAATATTTTTACAGCCACGCGAAGATTGTTAATGACATCTCCTCCGTCTTTTATTGCAGTTCTTCGAGGGACTTGCAGATGGATACTCTGGGCACTCGTAAGTATCGCCAATTGATATTGATACAAAAAAAGATAAGTAATCGCTTTATTCATCATCTGAGTATGGATACCGATCTAGCGTTTTTATTGATTTTCATTAAGATTTGACGGCGTCATAAAGATGCGAACCTATTCGAACCTATTTAAGTCCGCTTGAAATGGTCAATATAATCATGATTTAATTTGCAATGACTTGGTTCCAGATCATGCCTTCAAAATGAAACCTATGAAAGGGCTTACTTTCCATCTAATTACGATTTATGAAAGGAAATGCCTTACAATTAGCTAAGTGATTTCAAGTGAATTCAATAATTTATTTCGTTTTCTGCATTAATTTTACAACCATCATTTCTGATCTTTATATGCTGATAAGGTAATTTTATGAATGAGGTATATTTATTAAAATCTCACCTACTGTAATGGTTAAGAGACACGGAATTTAGAGCTTTGTTATGAAGACGTTATAAATACATATGTATATATTTTATGTCCATTTTCTTGGAAAGCTAATGGAGCCTCAATCATTTTAAGGACAGGTGTATTGGACGGGTGGTATTTTGTGAAACACTCCGTCAATATCTTACTCACTTTTCGCAGTCGACTCATGGGTCGTAAATCAATTTTCGACAGCTTTAGACTCGCCCATAAATTCCACTAGCGATATTTATAGATAAAGTGGTCCCAGCGCCAGAAAAGAACCAAGCCCGGTTCCAATTCCGATTGGCATTTGCTGTACGAACTCGAATCAAGATTTTATGGTCGGAATCGTAAATCGCCAATTTTATAGTTAATCGATGGCCATTTAGGCCCAATAAGCATCTCGTTGCATATTAATTTAGGTAAAATATATACAATAGGTAGTAGGTAGTTTCAGGCGACATGAAATTGATTTATGTGTCTTTTAAGACGTGTTCGAACCACAGCTCCCCAGTTGCGGAGATCGTAAAATTAATAAGGGATTAACATGCCATGATTGTGCCCGAAAAAGTCATGAGCCGCGAAATTGCGCCAGAGGTTAAAGTTAAAGCCATCTCAATTTGCCGGCGGAACCGGCTGCAGATACAGATGTGCAGATACAAATGTACAAAGATGAACGGAGCAGACGCACTGCAAGATACCGATACCGAAAACCCACCCCGAAAATCGAGAGCAATGACAGCATGTCCAAAATCAAATATGGCCGAATTAAATGTTCTCGCTCTCCGCTTTGCCTGCTCCTTCGCAGCGGCCATTGTTGCCATGACAACGGTACAGGGAGAGTGGAGAAGGGGAGTGGAGGGAGAAACAGCAGGAACTGAGAGGGAGAAACGGAGAGAGAAGAGAAGGAGAGCTGGGCATGCTCATAAATTTATTTACTTGTTGTTGTCGAGCGAGTTTCGTTTTTGGTTTCGTTATCTCCTTCGTTGTGGTTATTTTCTTCCCTGCTCGCCGACTGTGCTCTCCCCTCCCCCCTCCTTATCGACAGGCTGGGTATCTCCGACATACTTTGTATTCTCGGTTTGAGCACTAGGTGCCAGCTGAGGTTCGACGGCTTGAACACCGGCATCTTGGAGATTCAGTATGACAAAAAACAAAAACCAAGAGGGGCCAAAATACATTTTTCAGTCAGCCGATGTTTTGAATTTTAAATACTTTTTTAAACATACTTTCCAAAAGGTCATTAAAACAAAAGGGCTCTTCAGGGATATAAACTTAAAAAAAATGTATTTAAAGAAAACTACCTATGCTCTACGTTATGTCTTATCTCTGCCCAATTGCATTTATTAAAAATACCAAAATTTTGGCGGAAAAAAATATACTCAAATAAGCTATATTAACAGTGCACATTCGTGAATTTGCAAATTTTTTGCAGTTCCATTCTTATAAGAAGCCATCCTTCAACCCCGAATTTTCTTTCCCGTGAAAATAGATTATGCGCATTGAAAGTTACTAGTACAGAAACAACACAAAAGAGGGCGTTGTGCAGTTTTTTCCATTTGACCGCCAGAGGCGCTGTAAAAGTCAAGATTAAATACTGTTTTTGTATTTGGTTTATTTAATAAAGATTTAAATTTTTGTTAAAAATTATTTCAGGTCTTTTTAGATGCAGTACAACTTGTCTGATATTCCTGGCTTTACTGAAGACAAAGTTTTTATAGTTTAACCAAATTATTTTCTTTATGCTGTTGATTTGTATTGTTTAAGACACATTATTAATATATGAAATTATATGTATTTTATATTTATATAAATTTCTAACTATTGGTTTTATATGGTCCGATACTCATGTACTGAAAATGAATATATATACTTGTTGTAGAATTTTTTTTTAATCACAATAAAAGCATTACTTGATAGCATGACGGCTATGAACGTCCAAATTTTCTTTGCCTATCATATACTTAAAATTCTTTCATGAACGAAGTATTATTTTTTAAATATTTAAAAAGATTAAATTGTCAGAGGGCAGGCCAAGTTTATTGCTTGCATAAATACTGTACAGTGTGTTGAAAAGTTCATGATAATGCCAGCTAAAATATTTAATGAGTATATTAAATGCATATTATTTATGACCTATTAAAAAATTGCGTATACTTAATGGTCACTTTGACTTAAGTCAAATGAAAGGCTTTCTGTGTTGGATACTTCAATAAATATATATATTCCTAATGCAAGTTTATAATTGAGCCTTATAATCTATAATCTTCAAAATATGTAGTAGGAACTTTTAATTTATAGTGCTATAACATTGATGCATAATAATTGCCGCTTGTGGAAGCTTAAATCAGCTGTTCATCCATCTGTTCCCACGTTCAAAAGCAACAGGTTGCGTGCCAAGAAACTCTCCCAGACACCCAGTAAAAATCGAAAGTATTTCTTAGTTTTATAGCGGGCATTTATTGAAATATTTATGTTTAAATTGTGTATTTCTAAGTCGAGCAGTTTAAAAAAGTGTAATACCAAGTAACAAAGTGCTACGTGTATTGTAGAGTCTTAAAAAGTGTTTCACATCCCACGTTGCTCGTGCTTTCTCGTGTTACGTATACTGAAGGTATACCGGATAGGATACACTCAGGATACATTCAGTATACGTTTACGAGGTCGCACAGAATCGCCTTAATCCAAAAGTGCTGAAAATTATACGTCGTCGCGGATCCAGATGCAGATAAAGATGAGACCAAATCCAGATGTGAAGATATATATTATAATTTGTAGATCGAAATCGGACACGCGGCGTTGTTGACCCGACGATTGCACGGCCGCAACTGAAAGGAGCAGACAGGAAAAGCAGAAAAGCAAGCCGGCATGTCCTCGTAATTGTCGTTTCCTTTCGGCCCGTTCGCCCGTTCGCTCGTGTCTCGCTCGCACTCGTGTGCGACTGATTTTACAAGCGTTTTCCTCACTTCCGGTCGTCCTGTGTCCTGTTCGGTGGTTGCTGCTGTCCGGCTGATTTTTCAACAGGGTTGGGATGGGCCCGAGAATCGAAAATGATTGCGATAACCTCAACGTTTAGCCAGCACTTGTCACATAAGACGTGTCTTTATATTCCGCCATATATGGATGTCCTTGGTCCTGGAAAATATCATGGAAAGGAAAGCGAAAAGAAAACAGTAAGTTCAAGAAGTTACGACAACGCACCAAGTTTCCAGATACCTCTGGCATTAATATTCCCAGCCCCAGCTCAACTATTTCGCCAATCGCGATAATCACCCTTTGTTGCCATCCATTACCCACCTGCCCCATCCGCCAGGAGCTCCTACTTGCGCCCTCGAGCACGTCCTTTCGTTAATCCCGCACAAGAAAGGGGCGGTCGGCCATCCAACCCAACTCACACATAGTCTGGGAAATGTGCGGGAGACTGGGAGTGAAGTAGAGAGGTTCGCAGCCAACCAGGCAACTCTCTGGCAATCTAATGCCCAAGATAAAATTCAAAATTTATAATATTGCACAGTTTGCCCGATATAAAACGTAAACTTATGGCTCTCGTGGAGTACGTGCCATATTTTTCTATGTGTATGTGCCCAAGTCTCAGCCACTATATATTTGCCTATGTCAGTGCTCGAGTGTGTGTGTGAGAGTCCTGGCTCCTGTTCTGTGCTACTTCCTTTTTTCCTGCCCAACCCTTGCCAGCAAAGAGTCATGAGCTCGTTATGCCTGTGAGATTTCATTTGTGTGCCGTGGCAACCCCTGGAAACAGTGGTCCAATAACGAACATGCAGTAGAAAATTCAACAAAAAACAAAATGTAATAAATAACATAAGATATGGATTTTAAAACTGGATAAGTAAAATTGTTGGTGTCCTACTTAAAATTGAAATCTCTTTATTAAGTTCTTAAGGTCCCATTGATCCCATTGATATGTTCTATTAACAGCTGAGCTGCGAGCTTGGCTTGCTTTTATACCTTATTTATTTGAACATTTTAATTTAAGGATTTATTATTATGATCCTTAGGAAATTCTTAAATATTATTTAATTAAATCTTGCGCCTTTTTCATTTGCAATTTCTAATACCTAGTCCAAGTGTGCCTAGGCCCGAGTCCTCATGTCTCTGCATACTTTGACCGGCAGTTTTCTGATGGGCTTGTCAGGCGTTCGGGGAGGGTGCTGTTAGGTCGGTGTTCGATGAGGGGAGGGCGAACACACAGAACGGCCGTTACAACCATAAATATCATTTTTTTATTGGCACAACCCTAAATGGCGGCATTTGGCAAGCAAATTCCAATGCAAAACGCCGACTCCCAGCGGACAGACAGTGGGATGTGCTAAACAGACGGCGGTCCGCCCGCATAACGAGCGTCGAGGGCGGACTTGGTAGCAGGTTTTTGGGGGATAGTCGAGATACTCGGGAGCTGGAACTCCCCTAAGAATGTGCGACAATTTGGCGAGCCAACGAGCCAACGAGCCAAGGGATGCTCGACCATTGCCAGAAATCCTAGTTCGCCAAATCGCCCGATATCAAGGTACGTGACTTTATGGCAAATCGTTGCCATCCCGGCCAAAGGTGCCAAAATGCTGGCATTGGAGCTGCAGATGAGTCCTCTGCCGCAAGTGGCGTTAAATGCACGCTCCACTGGGCGGCACCAAAAACACCAAGGAAAACCGTACAGACAAAAGCGTCGCGGGAGAACGGAAACAATTGCTCGGAATTACAGACGCCATTGCGGCATGCGCCATTGTTGCCAGCAGACGCATTCCGCATCCCAGCCCCTGTTGCGGTTGTACCTGCCATGGACCACAAGAAGGAGCAGTCGTCACCATCAACGCTTTCAGTTGATTGTTTCCACGCTCCAGAGCTCATCCTCATCCCGACTACAGCCGGCACTACACGCCCACGCATGGAAACCCTGCACATTTCTAAACTTTTGTGGGAGCACTCACCACCTCTGGGGCGCAGTTTCCAAATGAGTTTTCATTTCTTTTCCACCTTTTTATTTTGTCTCCTCAATTATTCTGCTCTGTTCTATTTCATTCTTTGCCCTCCGTGAAGTATATTTCTTTATCGCCCATCGGGGATTATGTCCCAGGAATTGAAGCTTAATTTAGTTTTCAAATTTCATTCACCTCGAATTGACTTTGCGGCGAGACCGAAAACTTTTAAATTCTGGTTTCGTCTTTAAAACGCAATATATTGAAAACTATTTTTTTCAAAAGAAAGCTTTTTCTGTAATTTTAGGAAAATTGAAAATAATTTAATTGGTGTAATTCGAACTAGGTCTTAAATTTGAATAATCCAAGTTAAATTTTTTATACAATAATTAAATGGAAAAGTACTCTTTTGCATTATTATAAGCAGAAGATGTAAATGCAATTGAAAGATATTATAGTTTTAATAAGACTTAAAATATATCGCTGTCATTTATGTCAGTGTTCTACTTATTCCAAATCCCGCATTTGTATCCTGAAGGCCATAAAATTATTTCAACAAATGTATTCTCTTGTTCCTAGAGCCTGCTCCAAAACTATTTGCTGGAAATTCTAATTTAAATTTCTGAATGCTCACGTTCAATGTCTGGCAAATGTGCTCGGCGCGGTTTGTATAAAATTCTCGAGTCTCAGCCGGTGGACAGAGTTGTTTGAAATCGGGCGGAGGGTCTTGGGTTTTGGTGGAACCGGGCAATATTGCCGTCAATGACTTGCAAACAAAATTAGAAAAGAAAACCCAAGCGGTGGGTAGCATATGCTGCTGAGTGCGCTCCGGCATCAAAATGACTACACAAACTTTTCAAATTAGATTTCACACCCAAACTAAACACGAGGCGATGGAGATGGCGATGGCGACAGCCACGCCAGCGGAAAATTCGAGGTCGTAGGTTCGAGGAGGAGGGAAATGCCAGAGACAGAGACTGGAATCCAGACTTGGACCCAGTCTGAGGTGGAAGATGGCCACGACACTTGCGCACAGAGTTCGCCACTGTATTTTAGTTTATTTTGTTTTATTAAAACGACTAATGGCCGGCAAAGTGGGTGGCTGGGCTGAATAGGAAGACACAAAGCGACGCCCTGAAATGGACACAATTAGTGTGCAATTTATGCTCCATGGAGCAGCAGCTGCCATAACGACTGCCTCTTGTCTGAGCTGCAATTTGAATGGCCAAATTAGAGGACCCCGCAGACCGACCGTCTGTCTGCCGGCAATTCATGCATTCAAAGTCGAAGCGGCGACGACCAAGGTTCAAGTCGAGCTCGACAATTTGATAATATTCACAAGGCCAGACCGACCGACCGACCGGGGGCATTAATTTAATGTTCGGGGCGTTAGCCACACATGTAAATTCCTCGCATCTCGCATCTCTGGCATTTCTGCAGCCTCATTAGGGAGTGGGGCAATGGTCGAAAAGTAATCGAATAACCACCCCGACAAATAATACCATGCAATATTATTGTCTGTGAATCTTTGCAGCACATACTACAAGACAGAGGGATTTCATTTTAATATATACTCGTAAAGAAATATTCGCCATTGTTTTACTTGGCGCCTAAGAAGGCAGAGGTACAATCGCTTATCATATTTGTATTCCAAGAAAGGCTATCAATTACCCACTGCATATGTTGCATGTGCCATCTTTGATGCTTCACGCCTGCATCTGTTCGCATTGAACGAAATCCCGAATATCGCAATCAAAACTCGGATAAATGGGGATAAAAACAAGCGGGCTGTTTGCCATTTGGTCGCCATTGTCTCAGGGGGTGGGTCTTCATGTGTGTGAGTGTGTAAGTGTGTGTGTGTGTGAGTCTGAGACTCAAAACCCAAAAACCGCCCCTTGCGAATGCGTTCGTGTAGGTGAGAGTGCTTAATTATGCGTTTGGCAGTCGTAAAACTAAACTTTATGGCTGTCGTCTGCACTGCCATTGCTTGTGCAGTTTGTAACTGATCTGAGTTCAGGGAACGACCTCCGAATTCGAATTTCGAACCTTTTGGCCCGAGAGGCTGATGCCCAAAGTCGGGGCCCTTTCTGATTGATTTATACGCATGTGAAAAATGCAGCTTCGTAACTGGCGCACCGCTCGTAAAATCTGTCTGTCCGGGCAGGCTGATTTGATTTAGTGCCGCTAATAAGTAGCCAGGTGGCAGTTTGACCGATTTCTGGTCGAATACTGGATGCGCAGACATATTGCGCATACGCCCCATTCGCCATGAAGACAGGGTGGGAAAATTGCTGAGTTCAGGTTCTAGGGTTTCTTGGAACTTCAGGCCAAGGCAATGGTGATAAATACTAACAGCTAGCCGTTATGCCCAAGGAACGTATATTTAACCAATCATTAAAGACCCACTAGAGAAGAGTATACAAGCGTTATGTAAAAAACCTGTTTTGAACATTAACCGATTTAATAAAAAAATTATTCAAATTCTTAGCTAAAAATTGACTTTTGAAGTAAATCTACAATAATTGTAAAAGAATCATTAAAGACTTACCAGCTTTTCCAGTTGACTGAGTCATAGTCATGGTCCACTCTTTAGTGCCAAGAAACCTGCTAAGTGATAACGAAAAGAAGGCCAAATCATGCGGAAAGCAATATTAATCCAATAAAAATCGATTGCCCCAGTGAGTGGGGATAGGAAAAGCGCCATAAATAACCTGCCCCACGGAATGCAAACTGAATGCTGGAAGCCGGCAACGGCGAAACGGGTGGAATGTGCAAATGAAAATCATTATTATCGCCGACGATGATGAGCTTCATGATGGTCTGTCTCATCAGACTTTTGTCGTAGCACATTGTTTATTGCTGTCGGCTTTCCCGGCCCCAAGTTCCTGGTCCCTCGAAGCCCCCAAAACCGGAAAATACCCCCATTTGACCCCCCGTAAGGGCAGTTTGTAGCTATCTGTCTGGCAGTCAGTCATTCGGGGCAATTGTTTCATTCATGGACCCGCCAAAATAGACGAGAAGCGTTTATCATCATCCGAGACATGTTTCGTCTCTTTCCCTGCTGCTTCTGCCCTCTCTTTCTACCGCTGCGTAGGCTGTTGTATGCGTATAAGTGTGTCTGTGTGTGTGTGTGTGAGCAAAACAAACCATAAATGTGCGTGGAAGGCGAAAGACGAAAGGCGAAAAAGAAACGAGAGAATCCAAGTTTTTGTCATAGCCTCGAGACCCCCCTCTCGCCGTCAACCCCCACCCTTGGACCCCTCCCCCTAACCCCACCATGACCATAAGTCAATGTCAATGGCACGCACACAAATACACTATACATATTTGGTTTCTGGGACAGTCGAAAAGTTGTCGTCGTGTTGAATTTCTGGGCTGATTTTCCACGTTTAATGGGACCCTGACATGCCATGTTTGCCAGAAAATTTGTTATTTGGTGTTTATGGCGGCGTTTAAACGTTAGGGTTTCCTTCACTTTTATCTGCAAAGGAGATGGAATAGATGGGGAATACTTAAAACTGGTTTGCAAGTGCAGGCTGCCATCCGCGCACACAGATACTCACCCACACAGAAATGAACTGCAGCGATAAAAAGATACAAAATGCAAACCAGTTCCGCGATGAGATTAAATGGGGAAACAAACAAACGAACAAAAATCACAACTTATTTTGTAAATAAAATTTAAATAAGTAATTAAACAAACACTGGGCACACTGAGCTATCTCACTCATTTTCTACAGATTCACTTTGATAGTTGCAGTTTTATTTTTAGCTGATGGCTTTTTTGCGGTTGTTTGCTTTCCAACGTTTTGCGTTCATTTGAAGCCGTTGCCCGACGATTTCTTGCACGCCGCTCGGTCTCTCAAACGCCGGCAGCGACGTCGACTGTGACGCCGGCGGCGCTGTCGCCGTATCTGTGCGTATCTCACAGATATCGTAGCCCCAGTACAGCAGAGTATCTGTGTGAGGCGTATCTGTGAGGGGTTTCTGTTTGAAAGTGTTGGTGTGCCGTTCATGCGCAACTCACACGCACGTGCTTCGAAATTTCCCTGGGGCGCTCACACACACACAAACTCCCAGTCGAAATCTAACCTCTTTGGTACTTTTTGGCCAAGCCAGTAACGCTTACTGAATCGAAATCGGGAAATTTCGAAATATAACCATCGAAATATCCCCACCACGTGCTGGGGCCTTTGTTTTGTTTTGTGCTTTTCCGGCTGCAAAAAAGCTCTCCAGTCCCAGCTGCCTTAGCTTTTTGTTGTTGCTGTGGCGTGGGGAGGTTGTAAGTATATAACCCCGCCCTCTTCTCCGAGCGGGTATCCAATCCATTTATGAGCCTCTTTCGCTGTTGTTGCAATTAACGACCATTTGAATTATATTTGCGCTCGTAAACTTTACAAGAACTCTTCGCTGGTCTGGCTCGGAAAAATAAGAAGAAATGCCAGCGGTGTGGCGGCCTTTTCTTATTTTCCCCATTCATTTCGAACGTAGACAGCAGAAATTTTTACGACTTTTCTGCACAATGCGCAAATACAACGACAGTGGACCAATCGACCCGGTTCTCCCGTCCCAAACCATGCCCCTTCACCTTTGCATTCCACTCTGACTTTGGATCAGAACTGGCCCTGGGGATTTTATTGTGGGTTTCCCATTTCATAAATCGTTTGTTGATAACACACTTCGGCACTTGACTTATATTAAAAATTCTTGTTCCAAGGCATTTCAGGAGCTCAGCCCAACACCGAGCTAAACTCGATAAGATTTAATTGAATGTTCTTAAATAATTATTTAAATAGTTAAACTTTTTTGTAATGTTCCACTTTCCTTCGCTTTCAGCAGTCAGAAGATCTAAAAATTTCCACTTTGTATACAAATTGTCTATTTGTCGTTAAAGGAATTTGATTCAATTTGAATACGGTCACAAAAATACTAAATTATTATAGTAAAAAAAAATTCTCCAACTTTTGAAGATGATTAACGAATTCAAGTTCATACTATATCCCACCATATAATACCATTGCCACCAAGTTATTTCAAAAACTATTTGTTTGGCATTCTGGGCAGTTGCAATGCAGCATTCGCAGATAATTGTTGTCTTGGTATGGGTGTCGCTGTTCACCTCTCAGTAGATAATTAACAACCCTTAGCTGTGCGCAGCCCTTGCACCCTTACCTCGCTATCTGAGTGTATCTGTGTGTGTGCATCGATGCGCTTACCCCTAATTGCAATGCCATAAAAAGTGCAATTCCAGCGAAGGACAACCACCGAAGCAGAAATGAGAGAGGTGAGCGCAGCGGAGGAAGGCTCTTGGCATTTTGCCATTACATTGCAACCATGATTACGATTAGAACTGGCATTGTCTTGCCACCAGACGGCAGGATGGACTCAGTACCGGGACGCAGCACCCAGAACTATCAGCAGCAGCAGAGAGTGGTATGCGATAGGGGGTGGGGGGGATCAAATTATGCGAAACTGCATTTTCACTTTTCGCATCGCCAAGCCCGGCCATTTGCACCATAAGGCCAACTGGTGGAGATGGCCAAGCTGCAGCTGCTCCTGGATATTCTTGGCCGTAAGTGTCCTGGCTGGCAGAAAGCATCGTTTTCTGCATGCAAATTCCCTCGTCTTGATATATCGAAAATCTCGAGAAGTGCAGCCAATCAACTGGAAATTGCCAAGCTTCAAGTTAAGAGCCTTGCCATCTCCCCAAGCATTCGAATTGATAACAGATTCACCAGCGGCTACACCAGACGCAGCTGCAGCAGCAACAAATATAAAAGCTACACGGTTTAAAGAAAAGCAAAGTTGAAAGAAGAATCAGGAACCAAAGAGAGTTCAAAATCATCCAAAGTTTTAATAACTAGCAGTCACAGCATATACCAGCTTCCAGAAAATTATGTGCAATGATTAAATACATCTGAAAATATACATCTGAAAAAAGAATATCAATCATAGCAACCATGGTAAATAAAACTAAAAATATTTGACTGCATAATGAACAACTCGAGCAGAAGGCAATAGCCGTATAAACATTTGTCTGAAACGCAAAAGCAACAAAACCGGGAGCAGCTTCACAAAGCAGCCACCAGAAGCAACAATAAGAAGCAAAACACAAAGGTCACATCTGCAGAGGAGCAGCAAACTTATCAACCAAAGGCAATGCAGCAACAAAGGCAACATCGCTTAAAGTCTAAACAGCAGCAGATAAGTAGAAACATAGAAACTTGGGCTATACCAGCAACAAAAGAAGCTGCATCAACAATAGGCCATTTCTGAAAGCAGCAGCCTCAGAAAGATGGGGCACGTCTGCAACAACAACAGGTACAACGCAACATCTTTCGATGTTTGAATTGCAGCAGAGATAGGCAGGAACTTAAGTTAAACCAACCACAACTACACTGCAGCAACAATGGCCCATTTGTAAACAGCAGCAGCTGCAGCAACAACATCAGTTGCAACAGCAAGAACATCTTGCCTCAACAGCAGCAGCTTCAGCAACATCGAGGCACGACAGCAACATCAGCAATCGCGACGGCAAACGCGGGCGTTAAGCGGTGCGAGCGGACCGCCGCCGCCCGACTGTCGGCGGTTTCTTGGAGCTAGTGCTTTTGGGGCGCGTGGGCGTGGCAGTTGGGAAGCAGCATAGTGTGCACCCTGTTGCGCCCACGGCAGATGGATCGCTCTGATCTGCTCGCACACCGGCTAGGCTGCCGTTAGGGCGAGCGAAAGCAGGCTAGTGCGGCCATTTTGGTGGGAGCGAGACGACGAGTGCCGCAGCGCAGGCGTCGACTGCGACGGCAACGTCGGCGGCGACTGCAACTTATGCCGCTTCTGCTGCTGTTGCTGCTTTTGCTGAGCGGTCAGCGTTGGAGACTTTTTGAGGGATCTGTGTGCCGGAATCTTGGGGCTCCAGAGAAAACCGCAGAAGAAGTAAATACTGCGAGTGGTCGCCGGGGAGAGCTCATTCCGCCGATGAGCAAAACGCGTTGAGTGAAACTCAGACCAAGGTCTCTGGAGGAAAAGGCGTTCTAAAAAGCTGCAACACACTGTCGGAATTGATTTTCCAAGCTCGACATCTTCGCGTTTTATTATTAAAATAGAAAAACGAGTTTCAACTGGGGACTTGTCGTTGGGCGCACCTGACGAGCTGCAACGACAGCTGGTTTGGTTGGAATTGGGTTCAATTAGTTGCCACCAAATGGAAAACCCTGTAATTCCCATTTTAAAATCTCGAAATTAAAATTGTTTCAGGATTCCTTTCCTTTAAACGGAAGGGAGTGTAAATTATGAAATGTGGGCTATTCCGAAAGGCAATTAGGAATATAAGAGCTTGAGAAAGATGTATTTTATGTGACCTCTGATTCCTTTCAAAACACTTACCTAAAAGTTTGATAAGTATGGCGTTCATGAGCAAATAAACATTAATTTCTTGCAACCAATGCATATACAATTTTTTCCTATTTTTGGCTATTTTGGCACTCACAGAAGAAGGGATGAAAAAAATAAACTTACGCATACCTCAAGAAGCTTAGATTAATTTTTAATTGTATTTTTTGAAATAAGAGGTTGCTTGAATTATTATGGAGTATGGAATCTTTTAATGAATAATAATTAATTCTGTATAAATTAATTATTATTTCAGTGAGTGTATTTAGCATTTATTTTTACCCAAATCCGAAAACCAATTATATGTGCTTTAAAACGACTGAAAAAACAAAACTAATATGTGGTTCCCTTTCTTTCCAGGTCTGCGTCTTTGCGTGTGTGTGTGTGTGTTTTTATAACATTTGTGGATTACGCCTATAAAAACTACACCTCACCGCGGAGCCAGCGATGGCGATCCAGATACAACAAAGGGTTGGTAAACGAATTTAAATATTTGCCTTTTATTGCCATTTGATATTAATATGAATTTGAGCGGAGCCGGAGATTAAACCAAAGATGCATAAATCTGGCAGAGTTTTAAATAAATTCAGCTTATGGCTCGCTCAGCCACCGAAGTCGTAAAATCTTTTGTCTAAGCGAGGAAACCAAAGTCAAAACCTAATTGCATAATGATTTAATCCCGGCCAATGGCTCCAGTGCATGAATCGATCATAATCCGGCTCGGACAATCCATTAAAATGTCTCGCATAATCGCTTTAAAAAGCCATTAACATGGCCATAAGTACGAGCCGTCGGGTTTTACCCAATACCGAAAATATGAGTGCGCGGGTTCCGCGTGTTTTAAGCTCAACTTTGGCGGGCATTAAATGGGAATTCTTCTCCAAAGTATGCATAAAACTTTACGAGGCATGGCTTTGTTTTGGCTTTTGTTGGCATCGATTTTATGATTTAATTTGTCAACTGCGCTGCGAATGGCTTCAAAATTGTGACTCGAGAGCCATGGTGAGCGCATAAATATGATTTCCAGCGATCGCTGAGCGGCAGAGCCGCCCTGAAATTGAAATTGCACGATTTGTGCAGTTTTCATTGCGATTCGATTACGGATGGGGCCATAAAGTGTATTCGTTATTGCCATTAGTCGCTCGTAAATTGGCTAACGAATGTGTCGTCTCGACCCCGGCCGAAATGCTCCCCTCCCCCACCTGAGCAGCCCACCTTGCCGCCGAAAGTTGCAGAGTTGCGACCTCTTGATTGGCGCAGCCTTCGCTCGAGTATCCGCCGCAATTTCCAACCAAGAAGATACTGACAGAGACGTTATTCCAGTTTTTAATCTGCTCGATTGGTCGGCGGCGGGCGTTCGGACCAGGAGAATCCGACATCGCCATCGGATTGCGCAGGCGAGGTAATTAATATATTGCATTAAATGCTCGTAATCACGCATTTTTATTGGGGATCTCATGACACACACACAAAAGCACATACAAATGGATAAGGCAGCGTGGCATTAGGGCGATGCACTTCAGTCGAATGTTTGATAAGTTGGCTAACCACTTTGTTTACATTGTCTGTGTCAATTATTTTCTTTCTTGAAAATATCAAAGATAAAGTAAGTATAACAAATATCTTCTGACTACACACGACTCGCATCTACATCTGCTATTGGATAGGGAACGATTATCAAAATATTGGTTAGATCTCTTAGGTCCAACGAGCTGGGATGCAAAGTAAACAGTTCTTCAATAAACTCATTTATGTTATCCATTAGCGGGCCACCCTACTGCCCACTGATTAACTCCATTAGCCGCACCTGCGCCATTTAAGCCAGGATGAGAGCTCTCTAAAAGCTTGTAATCCGATCGAAATGCTTCAAAAACGCAGCGTACAATCGAGCACTTAAAGCAGTGGCGATCATTCGAAATTTTTGGATTTCGGTGCGGATACCGTAACCCAAAAGCAGTACATTGTCGATTTTATCAGTGTCATATACAATGCAGGGGCTAATTTCTGTATTTCTATACGTGTTTATATGAATCGAGTTGAAGTCAGTCTGATGATTACTGAAAATCGCCTCCACAAATCGTCATCTGCAATGGACGCTTATCGTTAAATGTACATAATGTGCTTTATTGTCACTTAAGTACAGATTTAAATAATTTTATGGCTTCATTTCATTTGTGGACGAGCACAGCGCTGCGATCGTAGTCTCTGGCAGGTCTATCTCACTTCTGAAGAGGGAAAAGTACAAAAAACACCCATCTATATAAATAATAATCGCCCATTATAAGTAATCAATGACTTTTGCACCCGCATATGAGCTCATTACTCTCCGTAATTACAGTGCTATTATTTACTGTACAGCCGAACAGAAAAATAACGATGATAATGGGGTCTCTGAATGCAAGAACGGCAAGAAATTATGATTTTTGAGTTATTTATTCTACAATCCCGCCGTTTGCCACATAGTGTCACATATTTTTCGGAAAGTGCGATTTAGATTATTAAATATTTTATTTCGCACTATGAGACAGCCTTTGACATCTTTCATTTCAAAACTGAGTCTATATATTATACGTGGCACACTGAGTCCCTAGTTTTAGCAAGATAAGCAAACTTTAGTCATTTAAAATTGTATTCGCCTGAGTCATGAAAGGAACCTTCAACTAATGAGGAATTTAAACCTACTTTAAAATAATTAAACCACTTGCCTACGCTTCAACAGAGAAAATAAACCTTTTTCCCTTAGGTGTTTTGCTTAGTTTCCCCCCCGAAGGGGAAAAACTAATTTGCGTTAATTGCGCTTCTCAGCGCCACTACAAAATAGAGCTTCAAGTGGTAATTGCAGGTATTTCCATTACAAAAGCATAACAGTATCAATATGCCAGACATTTGCATAAATTGTCCCCCTCGCACGGTTGATCGCTGGAATGTCGGGCAAGGCAAATAAATTTGCCCGCCGAACGCAGACTTGACTAGAAAATCGTTAGTCGAAGTGCGACACAAATGGACAGTTAAATAAATCGAGAGATGTCAGCGAGACAAGAGTCAAACGAACTTGAGTCCAAACCATGGTCAGGGACTTGTATTTGGACTCAGACTTGGAAGCGAACATGCACTCCCATACACGGACAAATTAAAAAAAAGTTTAAAATAAAAAACGCATTATTTTAATAAGAAATTGAGAACCCGAAGACTATCTGTTCTATACACGTTAGGGAAAACTCTTACCAGAAAATATACTAATATACTAATAATAAATAAATTTAAATATTTTTATTTTTTCTCTCGAGGAAGTCAACGCACATTTTTTCTCTGTGCAATCGCATTGTGGCATTCTCGAGCATTTTCGGTTTGATATGCAGAACAGCCACTCGCGTGACAGTCGAAGTGGTTTGTGGTGCAGGGTGTAGTGGTGCAGAGTGGTTGCGGTGGGTGGTGCGGGTCGTGGGCGTTGGCGAGTTAGTTTGTTGGCATTTCGCACGCATCTTTCATAAATTAACGAGATTTATGCGCCGAGGACTTAGATTTGCTAGAAAAGGGACTTGAAATTGCGGCGGAGACATGGATATGATGTGGAATCGATACTAAATTATCCTCTCTGGCGACAAACTTCCTTCTATTCGGTATCCTCCTTTGGTGTCTCCATCTATTTTTCTCGGTGGAGACACACCCAGTAAATCGCCATCTCTCTCTGCGCTCGACCATCTCTCTCGCACGCTCATTATGCGCACTCGTTTTTCGGAGTCGAAAAATCGATGGAATATGCAAAATATTGTTTGAGCCGGGGAGCGAATGGAACCGGGAGCCGCCTAAGTCAACAGGGAGATTCGGCTATCCCCTAATCCATTCCAGAAACTCTTTCGGAATGGAATGTAAATTTGAACAGCGTTTTCTTTGTTTTTTCTGACGCAAAAGGGCCACCGAGTTGTGCTGGCTCTCTGGGTTTGTTATTCTAAAATGATTTTCGTTCTCCATATCTTCGAGCCCCAAGTGTTGCCTAATGTAATCCGACTGGTATCTGTATCCCACAGATACGAACTCCCAGACCACTCAGACTCGAGACTGGGTTTAATTTCGGGTTTTTCAATCGGGCCTCTAATGCGCTAGGTGGTCAAAGTTGTCCATTTTCAGATTTTAATCGCTGGAATGTGTTTTAAGGCATCGATATTTATGTGACAGCCCAAATTTTGAGTGTGACACTTTAGAAACGTTTTTATGGTTTATTAAAAAATATCCGTTGAGCTCCAATCACGCACCTTGTCTCGAATGGAGAGCTAAACTAGTTTTTCAGCCAAAGCCGATTCGCTGGCTCCCGGGAAAGAGGGACGGATGATAAGGTGAATGGTTGGAGGAAGAGCACATTTTATCAAGGGGATTTGGCAATGCAGCCGGCCTAGTGCAACTGCACTTGAGTCCCTTTTAGCCCGAAAATGGGGAAATCGATCGACCGCCATAAAACAAAATGTTTATATTTCAAGAAGTCAAAAGTCAAATAGGAAACGTAAAGATCAACAGACCGAAAGCTGCCATTGGTGGGCTGCTGCGAAGGGAAAACCAGAAGGGGAACGCTCTCTCAGCACTTGGACTTAATTGAAATTTGAAATATGGTATTATGTGCGCGCAGTTCGGAAACAGTTCATAATGCCAAGCTCGAGCCAAGTTCGAGCACACGGTTCTTGTGCTTGTTTATTGAAATGCTCGTAATTATCCAGTCGAGTGTAATGAGCAACTGGCTCAAGTGGAGGTGCCCATATATCCCGCCGCCCACCCGTCGTTCCAGCCCAATGCCAATGCCATATGCACTTGCCCATGAAGGCAGCCCGTCTACACAGGCTACACAGTTGGCCATCCCATTGCTACTGCTCTCATGATATTCGGGGAACGCCGACTGCTCTGTATGCTCCGATTAATCACCTGCAGATGTGGTTCTCGATGGGATTATAATTGAAATAGCTCACCTCCAGAGAAATGACTCAGGAATTCGGGGCACTGGTATGGAACGCACTCTCTTAAAGAGAGGAAACATGAACCTTTAGCTTATATGGAAATACAGAACAACAAGATGGAGTATTTTAAACTAATTACCTTGCTGCATTGACTTAAAAATGTCGTTAACATACAGAGGTTCATATGAAATCCACTTCCTAAAATGTTCCGATGAAATTCAACATTTCAAAATTCCTCAGCAAAACACTGATTACATTTCAAACTCTCCTGTTAGATGCAAATGGAAAGAGAGAGTTTAGACATAGTGTGAAAGGAAAAATTAATTTTACAAACTCCTCTTTCGCCTCAGATTTATGTGGCATTTCTATAAATAATTAAGATTCTAGATGATCACCCTTTGGCTCAGGCGAAGTGCACCATTTGTAAGACTATTTAGACGGGCATGTGACTGGCATAAAAATAGAAACTGTTCCTTACAGAAAACTAATTAGGAAAACACATTTTCAGGGCCGGACTGAATAGAAAAT